ACGCGGGGCTCTCACTGTTGTGGCCTCTCCCGTTGCGGAGCACAGTCTCCGGACGCACAGGCCCAGCGGCCATGGCTCACGGGCCCAGCCGCTCCGCGGCATGTGGGATCTTCCTGGACCGGGGCACGAACCTGCGTCCCCCGCATCGGCAGGCGGACTCTCAACCACTGCGCCACCAGGGAAGCCCGGATCTCCTAATCTTGATGAGCTTCTCTGGTCCCTTGAATCGTGTCTCAGGCGGCTTTTTGACTGCTTCTCCCTTGAGGAGCAACTGTTCAAAGGGAATCTGCCCTTTGGATCTCAGGGAAGGTCAGGGAAGGTCATGGAGGCTGGAGTCTTGCCTACAATAAATGCGGGACAAAAGAAAAAGCCCTCCATGTCTGGGAGCCCCACGGGGCCCCGTTCCCTTTCATAACCCCCAGTACCTCAGAATGTGACTGTATTTTGAGACTGGGCTTTGCAAGAGGTCATTAAGGTAGGATGAGGTCATGAGGTTGGGCCCTAATCCAAATCTGACTGCTGTCCTTATAAAAAGAGATTAGGACACAGATGTGTACAGAGGGGAGAGCATGTAAAGATACACGGGGAAGACGGCTGTCTACACACCAAGGAGAGAGCCCTCAAGAGAGACCAACCCTGCCGACACCTTGATCTTGGACATCCAGCCTCCAGAACTGGGAGAAGATAAATTTCTGTTGTTTAAACCAACCAGTCTGTGGTACTTTGTTATGGCACTGGGAGCAAACCCATACACCTCGTCTAGGAAAACCTTAGTAAGTGGATAAAGCGCCCACCCCTCCATAGGAGCCACTGGGCAGGTTGTGCAGCCCGGGAGGGCTGTCTGCTTAGAGCTTTATGTGGAAGGAGGCACGTTCTTCCTGAGCCTCCTGATCGCCACTGAATCCCCCTCCGAGAGGAGTCCATCTCCTGGAATGTGCCAGAAGGTCATATGGGAAAGGTCAGGGTCAGAGACACGGATCCTCTTGCCAGCTGTTTCACCTCCAGTTCTACGAGGTGGGAAGGGACGAGGACTGCCCTACTGCTAAAGTCCTTACATTCTGGGTCCCTTTAAAAATTGAAAACAGGGGACTTCCCTGGTGGTGCAGTGGTTAAGATTCCATGCTTCCAGTGCAGGGGGCGCAGGTTGGATCCCTGGTCAGGGAACTAAGGTCCCCCATGCCACGCAGTGCAGCCAAAAAAAATAAATAGAGAAAAACTGAAAACAAAAAATCGAACCTGTCAAGCCATGTAAAGCAACGTCGGCTTTGACTGCAGAGCTCAGGAATCTCCAGTCCTTTCCAGACCGATCCCCCAGCTTGGCTGAGATTGGGGGGGGGGGGGGCGAATGGTTCACAGAAGAATAGCAGTTTCGGGTCTGGGCTGGAGGACGGGTCGGAGCCTGTGGGGAGACAGCCTGGGCCTCCCTGAGCCTGGGGACCCGGGCTGCCTTGTGGCCACTGCAGCTGGCCGTCCTCTAAGCCGAGCAGAGTGATGACAACCGACCGAGCTTCCTCTGTGGGGAGGAAACAGTTAAAATCCTGTGGCAGCTGCAGTCAGCTGGGCGTGGTTCTCCCATCTGACTGGGGCCCGCAGGATTCTGCACCCAGGAGCAGAGGAAGCCCAGCTCTGGCGCAGAACTTCCACATGGCTGAGTTTGATCTGGTGGCTCCAGGGCCGCTGCCCGGGGTTCCCGCTCACCCTCTGGCCACTCTCAGCCCAGACTCTGGGTCGGCCAGCCCAGCAGCAGAAGAGGATGCAGCCTCCCCCGGGAGCTCCCCGGGGGAGAGCTGGGGACAGAGCCATGGCTCTGCCTGGCAGGGGGGTCCTGGGGCGGAGGCGGAGGCGGAGGTCCTGTGCGACTTCTGCCTCGGGGCCAGCAGGGTGAGGGCCGTGAAGTCCTGCCGGACCTGCATGGTGAACTACTGCCCGGAGCACCTGCGGCCGCACCAGGAGAACAGCAGGCTGCACAGCCACCAGCTGACAGAGCCCATGAAGGACCGGGACCTGCTCGTGTGCCCGGCCCACCACAGCCCCCTGGTTGCCTTCTGCTGCCCCGATGGGCAATGCATCTGCCAGGAGTGCAGCCGGGCCGAGCACAGGGGCCATGCCTCTGTCTCCCTCGATGCCGCCCACAGGGACAAGGAGGCAAGTGCCGGGGTCCGTGCGGAGAGGGAGGTGGGGAGGCCGTGGGCCAGGTAGAGGCCTGGCCTCTGCCTCAGCTCCTGGGGCTGCCGGCTTCACTCCTGTGCTCTTAGCTTTGGCCCCTGGCTGTGCAGCCTGCAACCCTGTCTCTTGCTCTTGCTTTGGAAACTCGAGTTGGTTACTCTGTCGCCATCTCGGTCCTGCTGTCCCTGTAATCTCTCTGTCTGCGTCTGTCGCCCTGTGGCGAGTTACCTGCTATTTCTCACTCAGCTTTTGGTGACTCATCCATGGGTGGGTGTTGGGTGCAGAAGGTGTTTCCCTCTGGCTGGATCTGAGTGGCAATGAATGCAATGTAAAGCTTAGCAGAAATTCAAGAGAAAAGAGCCAAAACTTTGCCCGAAGTTCTCTTTTTCCCTTTACCCAAAACAAGAGATCAGTAGCGAGGGCCCCTTTGGAGATACCGGGTATGAAATCCAAGAGCTTGAATAGTGCCGAGGTAACAGAGAACTGGAAACTTCCCTCCGGGTACAATGTCAAGGACTGCTTACCTTAGGGAAAATAAATCTCCTCATCAGATAGAGGTATCAGGAGAGACTGAGAAATGCTGTGCTCATAGCCTGTAACTTTATTCCCATCGGGTAGGGCAGCCGTTTCTAGAACAGCGGGCTTTTCTTTGCCCTGAGAAAGCTGAGAGTCTGGAGAAGTTCCTGGGAATGGATTCATATGCCTCGTTTCTCAGACTCGGACTTGCCACGAGCATGTTTGTTCTCAGTGGGGAAGTGCACTCCTTTTGTCCCACATTTCTTGTGTCCAGACTCCGGGCAGCTCCCTGTCTGCGCTGAGCACGGCCCATGGCCGCGTCTTGGCCCCGGGCTTCCTGGGCAGCAGACAGGGAGCTTCCTGGAGCAGGACCCGCTTCTCCACACCCTCCCTTAAGCGTGGATTTTATCCAGCGTTAGTGGGAATTGCTCCAGAAAGCTCTGCATTCCAGATGCCAGTGAGTCACCGTTATCAACTCCACAGTCCACTTGCCAACAGTTCCCAGCATTTCCAGTGCCAGGAAATGTCCAGTCAGGAGAGCAGGTCACTGCCACCCACTCCCCACATTCACAGCCACGTTCACAGAGGAGGCTCTGCGTCAGCAGACAGGTCAGAGGATAAAGCTCCATGACTGACTACGTGGTCTTCATGGAGCCTTGCCGTGTGCTATGTGCTTTCCATGGATTTTCCCATCCAGTCCTGGAATAGCTCACTGAGGTGGTGACTCTTTTCATCTTCACCGAATTTGTCCAGACTCATACAGATGACTAAGCCATGGAGTAGGAATGGAAGCTTCTGGAAAGCCACCCCACTGGAGGAACACAGGGAAGGACCCCGAGGTCACAATATTATGACCTTACTTTATTTATTTTGCGCCAAAACCCTGCCACACATGTCGTAGAGAGATTAAAGCAGAGTGTACCGCTTTTCCCTTGTTCAGGGTGTAATACCTGAATTCTGTTACGTTTAACTGGAAAAGTGATGCATGCCCCCGTTCAGAAACAATCTCCACCAAATACTGAGATAGATTTTCCCAGAAAAGCCCTCCCCCCAGCCTGGATCTGCCCATCTCCCTCCTCAGAGGCAGACACCACGATCTACTCTTTCTTCTGTTCGCTTTCAGAAGTTCTATGCCTGTAGCAGCATAGCTACAATATGAATTTTAACGTAGTGTAAAGCTGGTGCATTACAGAGACGTAGGGTAATTGTCATTCTGAGCAGGGAGAGTTGTGTTGCTTGTGTGTGGAACCCCAAATTCAGACATCCCAGGAGGGAGCTGTGTCAGGTAAAATACAGACAACTGGGGCAGTTCTTGGTGCTGAAAGCAGGCCGGTTACAGGTGCGATGCAGCAGCCCCGTACCCCAGATCCTTGGTGCGGGCCCAGTTCCCAGCCTCTGCTCCCTGGTGTGCCTATCAGAGTTCCTGCCTTTCCACCCTGCATCCTTGCTTTCAACTCTGAGAGTGAGTGTGTGCTCTGTAAGCGCTTTTTGGGTGGCCCTGCCACGGCTCAGGAGCCAAAAGGTTTCTAGCAAGGAGCCCAGGAGACCAGCTCCAAAGACACAGTACCTGGATGAGGCTGCAGCCACCACCAGGATTATTTTGAAAGTCTTATTAGACATAAGTAAGGCTCCAGAAGCTCCATCTTTCCTCCAGCCAGCCCAAGCCCGCTGGAGCTGCTTGCTGAAGGTCACTTTGCATCAAGTTAAGCGCTAGTCACTCAGGAATGTTGTGCAAGGGAAACCGTGAACAGCAGGGTCAGCCACAGGGACACAGAGCGGCCGGGAGCTGCATGGGGTCCACAGAGCGATAGATTTCTCAGTTCACCGACAGAGCCCCTTCTGAGGCTCCCACGGTCTCTAGCTATGCCAGTAGGCGAAAACTCTGGATTTGGGAATATTCTGGGTGTTCTCTGATTATTTGTTCTGTGCCGCTGGGCCCACCTCTTCCCAATGGGGACTCAGCTCTTCCCCTTGTCCAGGCCAGCGTCCCAAAGCCTCTTAGTTGTTTTTTTTTTTTTTTTAAAAATGGAAGTGTAGTTGATTTACAATGTTGTGTTAATTTCTGCTGTACAGCAAAGTGCCTCAGTTTTACACATATAGACATTCTTTTTTAATATTCTTTTCAATTATGGTTTATCCCAGGAGATTGGGCACAGTTCTCTGTGCTGTACAGTAGGACCTTGTTGTTTATCCATATTCTACATGTAATGGTTTGCATCCACCAACCCCAAACTCCCAGGCCACCCCTGTCCCTTAGCTTTTTGTTTCTGTTTGGCCTCACCCTGCAGCATGCAGAACTTCCCCGACCACTGTGCCCCCTGCAGTGGAAGTGCAGAGCCCTAACCACTGGACCACCAGGGAAGCCCTTCCCTTAGCTTTTAAGAGCAGCTAATCTTAACTCCACTCACCTTCTCTGAACTCAGGCTCACTGCTGGGAAATGAAGCTGTGGCATGCGTGTGTGTGTGAGTTGTGAAGTTTGCACTCTTTCTGTGACTGCTTTCCTGTTTGTTCTTTTCTGTTCCTTTTCAAGTTTATCAAACATTATCAAGCACTTTCTATGGGCTAAGTGTGCTACACTATCTCAGGGAGCGTGGGCTGTAGTCAGGAAGCCAGGGAAGGTCCACGTCTCCCTGGATGCCAAAGGGCTGGGGCAGCACAAAGGCCCTGCTGCGTGTTCCAAGGAGGAAGACCCCCGGCAGTGAGGTCAGGGCAGGTATCTTGGGGGAAGGAAGCCTCGGCTGGGCCCCGTTTTAGACCTTCAAGTCCATTAGTGGCAGGTCACTGCATCCGATCTCAGCATTGGTTCCAGAAAGCTCAGGATATGGTGGGGGTCTCGGACACAGTCTCCAGCTAGAGCAGGAGCTGAGTTCTGAGACCTACAAGTGTTCCCGCTTCTTGGGGGTGCCGTTAACCAGCATTGTTCACGGCCCATCTGCTGCCAAAAGGCGGATGGTTTGAGGCTGTTCAGGAGAATTTCTTCTAGAAGTTCCGAGGAGTGCCTTGGACTCAGTATTATGCAACTTGTTTTATCCTGAACATTCCACCAGGCTGTGCGTCTTTCAAGAGCAGGGACGGTGTCTTATATAACTGGACAGGCATGTAGTGATCTCTGATCAGCTGGCCAAGGGGTGAAGTCAGGGCCCAGCTGGGACCCTAGTGGTCCCAGACACAGACTCTCCAGAGGGAAACACAAAGCAGCTGACACCATCTGGAATCTCCTTCTCTCTTCTCCCTCCCCCTGCGGTTCCAGTTTGCATCTCTAACCCGACCCTGGCCACTGAGCTGGGTACCACCTTTGCCCTGGAGACAGAAGCAAGAACGATTTTGTTAACATATTCTTGAGGCACCAGAGGAGACGCTAAACCATCTGATGAGGGTCGTAGAGCCTGAGAGGGGCAGGTCTTGTACCCCAGATATGGTGCCTTTTGCACAGCATCTGTCCTCACCCCGCTGAAGTGGGGAGAACTCTCTGTGCCCTTGGGCATGGGACCGTCTACTCTCATTGACACTGCTCTCCTGCTTTTGTGTGGGGCCCGCCTGGGCCTGCGATGTGCATATGGCTGACGTCTTGGGACACCCTGGAGCCAGGGTCTGAGGCACCCCGTCATTTCCTGGGAACAGGAAAAACTGGAGATGCTGGTCTCCGAAGTGGCCCCGCCTCTTGTGGTAAGCAGGAGTGCTTGCTTGTGGGGTGACTCACTCAGAGGTCCCCATTAGGCACTCGGGAGTCCCTTTCTCCTTTTATGGCAGTCCGCAGACAGTGGGGAGAAGCCCCCTCCCTGGACACTCTGGGGGTCTCCTGTGTCCCCGGATGGTTCTGGGGCCGACCGCTTTAACACGCTCTGCACTTGTTGCTACTGTGTGTTCTGTTGTGCCTCCCGCCACCTTTCAACAAGCAGCTCATGTCCCCTCCCGTCCTGGAGCAGGTCACTGCGTAATAAGCCTTCTAGACAGACCAAGATTCCACGTTGCCCCCAAATAGGCCGGACCCCGCATCTTCCATGCTTCTCCCACTCCCGGGCATCAGGTCTCAGGTCTCAGGGGCGGGAGGTCACCCGGGCTCACTTGGCTCTGAGTCAGGGCCACAGGGCCTGAGCAAACGTTGTCGGGCTTCTGCAGAGGGATGCGAGTCCCCTGCCTGCCTGGGCTGCCACCACTGGGGCCTGGGATTTCACGTGGGCTTCAGTGGGAGGAAGGAGAGACGCGTCACGGTGCCCCCGCACCCCGAGTTCAGTTCGGGCGAATGACGACACAGCTGGAGTGCAGACACACGCTGCTGTGAAAATCAGTGAAAGCTCTTCTTTCTGTTGCTGCTGTCTTGTGCCCTTGTGGACGCAGAAAGTGACAGAGCCTCTGAAGTTTGCAAAGGCTCTGGTTTCATGCCTCGGCACATTCTCGGCAGACAGTGCTTGGGGAGTTTCAGGAGGCGAGAGTGGGGCTGGGCAGGGATGTCGACGTGGGCAAACCCGGGGTTCTCAGGCGGGCGCTTGCCTCGGCGGGGCGGGTTTGCTCTGCCTGCATCCGGCAGAGAATGAGTCCGTGATGGAAAGCAGCCGAGGTGGTGCTAGTAACGATGATGAGGATAATGACACCACCGACACGGATGGAGCGTCTGCAACGTGCCCGCTACTGTACAGAGTTCCTGCTCACACTCCTCCCATCCTTGCGGGAACCCTGTGAATTGGGCACTTTAGCTGCTCCCACCTCACAGGTGAAGAAATGCAAGTGTGGAGGCGTTAAGTAGATTTTCCCGAAGTCTCATCTGCTAACTAGAAACCCTGGGATGCCCACCCCCGACTTCAGGCGCCCTGTGCTCCTTGTCAGGCTGTTCTGGGCCGGATGGGCTGGACTCAACTCCACTGACAACTGTGTGACCTTGGATAGGTGGCTCCATTTTCTCACCTGTGCCATGGAGATAATGTGTTTACCTGCTATGGGCATGGTCAGGATGATAAGAGGTGACACAGAGAAATGCTTGAAGCGATGCCCAGTGCAGTGTAAGCTCTCCCTGCATTTTAGCCAGTTCACCCCAGGAAGTGCCGGCACACAGCTGACCCTCTGTGCCTCCAGTGAGGGTGGGTGCTCCAGCCTGGCTTCTGAGAGCAGCTTCTGAGACAGACTCCCCTTTCCACGGAAGAAGGGCAGACGGTGCCCGTGCTCCTGGGGACCTTCCGAGTGCCCGGGGCTCCTTCCCCCTTGATGCTGACCTTTCCTCTTCTTAGGCTGAGCTTCGGATCACCCAGTTAGACCTGGAGCGGAAACTCAAGTTGAATGAAAACGCCATCGCCAGGCTCCAAGCCAATCATAAATCCGTTCTGGTAAGGCTGGCCGGGGTCACCTGCCAGGCTTTGGCACACCTGGCAGCTGCCGCATGCTCAGCCAGGCCCACCCGGGGTTGTGGGATGCAGGGTGCAGGCCCGGCCCCCGTGTCCACGGGCCCCATGGGTTTTATCATTGGGTGAGAACTGTGGGTACAGATAAGGTCGGCCACACTGCAGGGGGGCTTCAACTTGTTATGGGGATTTGCTATGAAATTAGTTCAAGATTCAGAACTGGCAAGTGATTTACTTTTTAATGTTATAGAGTAGAAGCAAGCTAGTCCTGTAATGACAGTGTCCATATTTGTACATGTGCATATGCTTTTTTGACCGGGAGAAAAGGGTGTATGTGGGAGTCAAGGGGGGTGGTTAGCCAGAGCTCCAGAAATTACGCATAATCTTGGATTCTTCCATCATAGGAGGGTGTTCTGCATGCAATTCTCACCAGTCCTAAATCCTGGCAGCCAGGAAAGAGAGGTGAGAGCTGCTGGATTAGTGGATGGTACTTGATAAGGCCAGTGGCGTGCCAGGCTACTTAGTTTTAGTCTCTCTGGTTTATGACCACTTTCTATAATAAACTCTAAGTAGACCCAAACAGTTCCACAAAGTTTTCTCATTAGTGGCAAGCCAGTAACCACAACTCAGAGGAGAATGCAAAACAACTACCCTATGGCAGTCAGTCAGCAGCAGCATCTTCTCATATCAAGAATGATTCTATCCATTCATCCATCCATCCACCTACGTATCTATTATCCATCCATCCGTCCGTCCGTCCATCCACCCATCCATCCATCCACCCACCTATCTATCCATCCATCCACCCATCCATTCATCCATCCGTCCATCCACCCATCCGTCCATCCATCCATCCATCACCTACCCATCCACTCACCCATCCATCCATCCATCCATCCATCCATCCGTCCACCCGTCCGTCCATCCATCCATCCATCCATCCATCCATCCATCCATCCATCCACCCATCCACCCATCCGTCCATCCATCCACCCACCCATCCATCCATCCACCCACCTATCCATCCATCCATCCACCCATCCATCTATCCATCCATCCAACCATCCATCCACCCATCCATCCATCCATCACCTACCCATCCACTCACCCATCCATCCATCCATCCATCCATATCTAATACATGTAACCATTTCAACTTAATTTCTTCCTCCTTGGTGTTTATAACTAACTAGCTGTGGAAGAATGAATACCTATTTCTTACCCATATAATCTTATGAAAAGAAGAACAATGATTATCCCTTTAAAGTCTTGGAAACCTTCAGAGATTGTTGATTTCCATGCTCCATGTAATCTGGAGAACCGCATGGAGCATCTTGCCTTTTTCCAGCTCTTTATTTTCCGGACACTTTGATCCCTACTCAGTTCTTCTCTTAACTGCATGGTACCCAGGTGAGGTAGGTACCACAGTGGCCACCATGTAGGAAGTACATGAGGACACAGAGACAACAAGAATCGTCCAGGGCCCCTAGATTGATGGGACAGGAGAGCCTGGGAATATTGCTCCCTTGACCTAAGAATTACTCAGTCTGTTGCAATAGTGGTGCTTTAGTTTCTTTATCTAAGAAATGGGGACTGTAGTAGTACAGTCGTGCCTTGGTGTCCTCAGGGGATTGGTTTTAGGACAACCCCCAATCCCCCCCACCACGGATACCAAAATCCACAGATGCTCAAGTCCCTTGTATAAAATGGCCTAGTATTTGCATGTAAACCTACGCACATCCTCTCGTATACTTTAAATCTTCTCTAGATTACTTACAATACCGGATACGATGTAAATGCTATGTAAATAGTGGCCAGCTTGGCAGAGGCTAGTTTTGCTTTTTGGAACTTTCTGGAATATTTTCCCAAATATTTTCGTTCTGTGGTTGGTTGAATTCGTGAATGTGGAATCCGCAGATATGGAGGGACATCTGTATTTACCTTCTAGGGTTGCCATGAGAGAATATGTATACAGTGCTCAGAACAGTGCCCGGCCCATGATAAGCACTTACTAAATGTGGCCGTTATTGTATTACTATGTTATGTAATTAAAAAGTGACCAGGCAGGCGGCAGGACCCCAGGAGAACAGAAAATAGTACCTGGAGGGGCTGCTCAGAGGGCTCTCAGATGGGATGGTCAGGGAGGGACAGTGGGGGAGATTGAGGCAGGCAGGGCATGGGCTCCGGGCTGTGGAGTGGGGTGAAGGGAGGGTGAGCAAAGGAAAGTGTTGCCAAGAACTTTACATGAAGTTTAACCAGGTAATTTGTGTTGGGGCAACGATCTGGAGTTGGGCATTGTCAGAGGGAGCCGTCAGCACCAGGACCTAAGAACTACCAAAGAGAAGTGGAAACCGTTGAAAACATGGCTCGAAGTTGTAAATATGACATTGACTGAAGGCATTTGTAAAGGATGTGGAAGAATAGAATCCCACGTGCACAAGTGCCATCATGCAAATCCTTGCTCTTCATCACATGGAATTTGTTTTATATATTTTTGAACGTGGCATTCCATTCTGCATAGGTAGGCTGGTCCTGCGATGCTTAGGTGCTGTGGACACCTGCACACACCCTAAACATTTTGTGCCTGGCACAGACACCATAGGGTTAAATGTGCTTTTGGCTCAGATGGACCCGGCGGGCAGTTTAAGTGGACATAAATGAAATGCTAAGAAAGCAAATTCATGCTACTGATTTGTACAAAGAAGCGAAATTATTATTTTACCGCAAGAAACATGACTATCAAGTATACTGAATATGCACATTGTCCCGGTTGGAAGATGGATGTCACACATTTGAAGAGCAGCCCGACTGTCAGAGCTGGACTCAGAAATCAGATAATTCACTCTCTCATCTGATGCATGAGAGACTAAGGGAATGATTGGCAAATAAGTACTTATACCCTGGAGAGTCCTTCTTGTTTCCGGGAACCCAGGATTCAAATGAGAATAAAGGCTTGCTTTTACAATAGGAAATCGCTCCCTGATTTGCGGGTTTCTCGGGTTTGCGTTTCTGCGTGTTGAGCTTTGAGGAGGTTGGACGCCTCACTAACAGGTTCTTCCCCCCGCCCCCCGCCCCGCCGCCCCGCCAGGTGTCGGTGTCGGAGGTAAAGGCGGTGGCCAAGGAGCAGTTTGGGGATCTCCTTGCCGCCATGAGGAAGGCCCAGGCTGACATGATGCTTTTCTTGGAGGAGAAGGAACAAGCTGCCCTGGGCCAGGCCAATGGCATCAAGACCCACCTGGAGTACAGGAGCTCAGAGATGGAGAAGGCCCGGCAGGAACTGGACAGAATCGCTGCCATCGGCAACCCCGTGCTTTTCCTGGAGGTATGGGCTGCCGTGCTGCTGATGCCACGGAGACCTTTGCTCTGCTCGGCCTGTGGCGCACGGGGGAAGGGGACTGCCCGCTGATAAACAGGTGCGCAGGGAGCTGTGAGGGCAGAGAGGAGCTGAGTACAGGGGTACAGGAGGGAGGGCTTTCCAGAGCGGAGAGGCTGGAACCGGGTCGTGGAAGACGCATCATGTGCCAGCAGCGGCAACGGCATGTGCAAAGGCAGGGAGGTTCGAGACAGCACAGCTGATTTGGGGAAGTAAGGTGCTTTCACAAGGATGGGGTGTGGGGCGCTGGGCGCAGAGTGATGGGAGGCGAGGCTGGCGGGGCCAGGTGGGCATCTGGCTGTAGAAGCTCATGCTTCATCGGGAAGTCACAGCAGCCCAGGGAGGACTTCAGGTGAGGGGTGATGAGCTCAGGCCTCAGTGTACTTTATAAACCGCTCCGACAGTGGAGGGATGCTTGCTGGGCCGGGGTGAGACCCGGGTCCTCCTGCCTTTCGGAGAGGGCGGCACGTGCTGGGGTGACTGAGGACAGACAGCCCAGCAGAGAAGATGAGACCTTTCATTACAATGTGCCATTCATGGTATGTTAAGCCATGTGCCATCAGACATTCCATCCTCCTGGATCTGTCACTAGAGCGCTGTGTAGTTTTTAGCAAGTCGCTTAACCTTCTTGGGTCTCAAATTCCTCATTTATAAACAAGCAGGTCGGAGTCAATGATTTCCAAGGCTCCTTCAGTGCTAACATTCCTACATACAAATAATTCTTTTATTGCATTTTGGGAAGAGATTCCCTTCTAGTTAACGGCAAACGTAAATGTTTATTATGAAAAAAAAAACTTGGAAAATATGGAAAAATATAAAGGAACACGATCATTCATATTCCCATCACCCAAGATAATCATTGTTAGCCTTGTAGTGAGTGAGAGAAAGAGAAGCAGGGACAGACAGACATACCAAAGAATGTCTTTCAGTTCCTTTACTTTTAAATATCAAAACAAAGAAAGTATGAAGAAAAATTTGGCTTCCCATGTCATGAGTTTCCTAAAGACCATATAAATAATTTAAAAAAGGAAATAAAATCTCTTTATTTTTTTCTCCTTTTGTAACTTTAACATAAAAACTTTAATATGTATAAAATATATTTTAGTATAGGACAACTTATTTTAGTTAAACATAACTTCTTTTTTCCACAAATTTTTAGCCAATCAGAATGACATGTATTGTTCCCCAGTGATTCTTTTTTTTAGAAATAGACCATTTTATTTTATTTTATTTTTTATTTTTTCGCCGTGCCGTGCGGTATGAGGGATCTTAGTGCCCCAACCAGGGATCCAACCCTCGCCCCCTGCCTTGGAAGTGTAGAGTCTTAACCACTGGACCACCAGGGAAGTCCCCCCAGTGATCTAAAATGTTACTTTTATCATATATGGCACTAACTCTACATATGGTGGTAAAATGTTCATTTTTCTCCTTGTCTACTCTCTGGCTTGGCTTCTTTCTTCTCTTCCATTAATCTAACCATTCTGGTACAACTGTTTTCATCACTAAGTTTTCTGCTGTACCCACTCTGTAATTCAGTGCTTCCATTGCATTTGAATTTTGATAATGTGTTACACCTGAAAGCAACCTTTCCTGATCACTGCAGTTTTGAAGCATGAGAGGCTTAATGTGCTTATCTATGTGAAAACACTTTTCAAACTCTAAAGCACAGAACAAGAATTAGAGAACACTGTACTGGATTGAACCGACTAGGAAAATGCAGCAGCAAGCATTCCCGCCTGAGGACTTGTCTGTGAATCTTCCAAGTGCTACACCCTTTCCTCCATCCCTGTCGTGGCTTGTGTTTAAATTAGTTAAAAAAAAAAAAAAAAGTACCGATAGAATGAAGTTTGCAGGAATGTTACCGCCATCTGTGCTGTTGGTGTAACACATTTGTTCTTCGATTCCCTGTCTGGGCTATGTATTGCATCTGCTCATGGGTGCCTGGTATCTCTTGATTTTTTTTTTTTTTTTTTTTTTTT